AATGATGGGGATCAGACCTCCTCCCACGCACCTTGTAGCAGTGGCACCTCACCCTCAGACTCCTCGCAAGGCTCAGGAGTTAACATAACGGGGGGTGATCAAGTGATGGAGCCTCCAAATTCCTCTACAGCACTGAGGTCTAGCAGCAAGGTGAATGGATATCACATTACTCTACTCACACCACTCAGCAAAGGCTTGAGCAGAGCCAACACCTGCCAAGTTCAAGGGTTTTGTCTCACCCATCAAGCTCACACCAGGACTTCAAACACAAAAATGGGCAAGGTCTTATCCTTCTAAGTGAGACATTCTGCAGCCCCATGTGGGGCCATTCTCCTACCTGCTCTCCACCCTAAAGAAGCCCTTTCCTCTCAGAAAGCTTAGCACAATTCTCTGAAGGTGAAGCAGCTGCACCCTCACAGCTGCATCTCACCTGTCGGTCCAGCTGTCCTCTTTTAGTGATGGAGAGAGGAGCATCAAAGAGCTTCTCCTCTGTCTCTGCTTCCAGAGCCACATGGGTTTTGGTCACTGCTCCAGCCAGAGGATCCAGGAAAACATACTTCTTGTACCTAAGGGCAGAGGACAAGTATTTCAGTGATGCCACCTTGAGGGCCAAGGCCAGAAGAAACAGTGTACCCAAGAAGGCCTTGGAGGTGGAGACCTCCCGACTCACTCATGAAGGTGGAACATGTTGGGCCTCCCAGTTTCTTTCTTTTAGCCCCATTTTCCTGCCTCACCCCTCCCCAACCAAGAGGTGATCAGCTCCTCACCCTGCTAGCACAGCCTCCACATTCCTCCTAAAGCAAAGCCCCGCTGCACTGCCAGCATTATTACGCTTTCCTCTTCCCACCACCCAGCCTGGAACCATCCTACAGCAGGACACCAGTCTCTCCTGCTGACTTCTCACTCAAGGTCCAGGAGAAAAGACAAAGAGGTGAAATAATCCACAGCTCAGGAGAAGAAAAAGGAGGTCCAGCAGCTGCAAGCTCAAGAAGAGCTTAAAGAAGCTCTTCAATACAAGCAGAAGGAGGAACTCTGAGGCAAAGCCCAACAGGAAAGGGAACTGCAGTGAGGGAGGCAGTGGAGACATTAAAACAGCGAGAGTGGTGAAGTGTTACTGTGAGGAATCATCAGGAGAAGGAGCAATACCTAGACTGGCACAGGGGCAGAGAAGGGCAGGAGTGACAGCAGCTCTCAAGGCTGGAGAGAAATTACAGGGAGATGGCAGGAAAAACTAAAATGAGGAAGGGAAATGCAAAACTTGGTTGAAAGGAGGTGAATGGAGAATCACATGAAGGCAAAACAACTCCTTCCAGCCAAGGGAAAGAGTGGGGAAGAAACGGTTGTCAGCTGGAAACCAACAGAGAGGTACCAAACCCTGTCCTAAGAGAAGCCTGGTACGTAAGAACCCCAGGAAAGCAAGCAGTTACTGCTGCCCCCAGGGAAGAGAAAGCTCCTCTGAGGACAAGCAGGGGCAGGTGAGCAGCACGGTGCTGCTCCAGCTCTCACAAGTTCTCGGTGGTATTGAAGAGCAGCAGGGAACTGAGGGAGCTGATGTTCCTGGGGAGGCTGCCAAGGCCTTCTTCTGCATCATCCTCCTGGTGAATTTTGGTGCTCAAGCACACAGGGAAGTACTTGAGTTTCTCCTGCAAGAAGACAGAAAACAGGTGGTAAGGTGCTGAAACCACAGCTGCTGAGACAGCTCTTCCCAGCCACCGCAATCCGCACCATTGGATCCACTGGGAACCCTACTACTCCCTCTCCACCTCCCTTTGAGCAAGGAAACTCATAGACAACATTGCAACCCCACACTCACGACAAATCTCCGCAGTTCAGACTCATGGCATGTGCTTTTGGTGCATGTCTTATTGAACAGGTTTTACTGTGGCAAGGATCCACTAAAATAAAACAACCACTCAGACTCTATAGCCAGAGGCAGAGATCAAGCACTGCAGTTTTAAAAGGCATTTTTTACAGTGTCTCCAACCACTAGACATTTTCATGCAAGCAGAGTCCCCCAAACATCTCTATTACCTCCCCTCTGCTGCCTTCAGTTGCTGTTCTAAGAGATGTGATCCCACCGGTGGGGTATGCAGGGAAGGCAAAGGAAAAAGAGGTTAGGAAAAAGCAGAGTGCCTGCACTAGGCAAGAGATCAGGCAGAAGGGAGTGCGCAGGGTGGAACGTGTGCCAGATGGTTTTGCAAAGCCTGAGGGATTTGCAGGAGTTTTCAACTCTAATGAACTGAAATCTCCTCTCTCTCGGTTCTAAAACTTCATGCATAATATATAGAGCTCCCTTTAGAAAAGGACTTATTACATCTGAACTGCTTGACTTTTATAGAGCACAGGAATTGCCATCCCAGATCAGGCCAGTGTTTCAGCTGGCGTGACAGCGCCCGCTGCCAGATGCTCTGGGGGATGAAGCTCAGTGCCCACAGCCAGCTTTGCTGTGGAGGGAGGAAAATTCAGGATCCTGAACCCAAAGGCAGCGTGGGATGGACAAACCTCCACCCCAAGCCCCTCCCCATGCCTTTCCTCAGCCCCTTCACAAGTCCTGCTCTTTCTTCACAAAGTAGGACAAGCAGCAGCCTGGCAGCTATGAGGTGGTAAGTGCTCATATCAGGAGAAACTAGGATGATTTGTCAGGTTAAATATAACTGGCCACACTCCTGTGGCTTTCTTCTGTCACCAGAAGATGACCACTTCAAATACCATCCACAGCTTCCTACTGCCTCACTCCTTCCAGCATCCCTGCTCCATCCCGTTCTCCGAGTCCTTCTTCCCTCTTTGGACTTGTATGGGGGAAACGGAGACCACTGCTGGTTCAGTTTTAAGACCCTATCTCAGCGACACAAGCAGTTTCTATAGATTGAAATTTCAGGCTTGAATCTGGTAGCCAGAAATCCTGGGAAATGGCTTAGTCACAGCCCAGCTAATCCACTAAGAGTTTGTATGATGCTCTGAGTCTATAAAATGCTGTAAGAAAAGATCTGGGAGGTTTGGATTTAAATTCACCCTCCCCATCCCCCAAAAATAACACGTTCCAACTTGTGAAAAATACACCAAAATAAACATCTTGAATTTCTACAGCAGCAAGTAGGGAAAAATGTCTAAATTGTTATTTAGAGACCGTAGAAGTAGAGATTCAGAAACAAAGGTTCTTCTGATTATTAATATTCATTTCCCAATGTTGAATTTTTTAAGCATGAGGGAGTACTGACATTTTTGCTAGAACTGTTCACACACACTTAGGCCTCAAGTCATATATTTATTTTTTTAATTCTCTCTTTGTAGATTTCCATTAACACTGGAAGATTGTGCGTCATTTTAAGGGCAGAGTGAGAAACCAACCATTACCTACATTTACTTATACGTCTCATCTAAGGCAGTTATGAAAGCAGTAAGCATGACTATTACTCCAAAACGTGAGGCCCTACATAATCATTGCAATTTAAATGCCACCAAAGTGCTAGTCTTACTCAAGTACCAAGATCTCTCTTGAAATTTAGAACAGCTACATACCATCAATACTACCCTGCAACTGTGAATTCCACAAGTTAACATACCATTTAAAAATTAGGTTTCTTATTGGGACATTAAACCAAAGTTCAGCAACATCGATATACTGAAGTCACTGGGTGGGCCTGAATCCTGCAACACCCCAACCTGGTGTTTGGCACCTGGCAGCATCACACCCCTAAGGACGCTGCATTTCTAGGCAGTTTTCTTCCTAAAAGCCTATGGTTAAAAACATATAAAGACACTCTGGTTCTTAAGTTTAATTGAGCACATGCTATCACAAGAGGGAACTGGTGTGGTACACCAGAAACCCCATTCCCCCCATGCCCATGGCATGCTGAGGCTAGCTAGGAAAGCTCTTGAAGATGAGCAAAAGCCAAAAAGTTGGTTTAGTCTCCCCACACCCATGGTGGACTCGGAGGATGTGCCAAGTTACTGACATTTCTGAAGCCTTGCGAGGTCACTTCAGCAGTGGACCATAACTTTTGCTTGGACCTCTTCCCAAAACCAGGCAGACCTTATTTCCTGCCCCATTTTCCAGCCCTCTGAGGGGCACCTGCAGCACCTGGACACAGGTCTCGCCACCTAAGAAGCCCCACGGGGCTGCAGCCAACTCCCCACTGAACCCTGCTTAGCTTGTGCAAAGCAAGTGGCTTTGCAGGCTTACCAGAAAGACCCCGTTTCTGGCACCCTTACCCATCAGTGCTTACCTTACCAGCCTAAGCAGTGTCCTCTCAACAGCCGAGTTTTCACTTGCTTGGGGTGTAGAGGGGAAAACAGGCATTTTTCCATAGACTGTGGAACCACACACATTTCTAACGCAGCTGCTCTCCCCCCAGAGCACAAACCCTAAGCGTTGAGCACAGGCTGCCACCATTTACCCCCAAACTGACACACGCAGAGCTTGCTTTCCTGGTAGGGCTTGCATGTGTGTGCGTGAATGAAGTTAGCAAAGGCCACTGTGACTGCTCCCAGCAAAGAGGCCCTCATTAGAAGTGAAAACAGGCAGCAAGCCTCTGCTGAAAGCCCTGAATAATTGAGGAGGGCATAAATGCAAACATTAGACTTTTCTCTGTCACATTTCATTACTGCAAGGCGCGTCAGCCTCCATGCTCAGCTATGGCTAAGAAGGGCCTGTCCCCCTAGAACGTGGTCAGAGCTCGGCCGCACCGAGCCCCTGCTCAGCACCACAGCTGCTCCCAGCACAGGCCCCTCCATCCATCAGCTGGCGGCCAGTCGCCAGCACAGCACCCTCTTCCCGCCCCACAGAAGAGCTGCAGGAGCTGGTGTGTGCCTGAGACAGCAGCCCACTGCATGAGTTTGGGTCACCAAGGCCAGAGACAGGTCAAAAACCCCAAGGGAGGACTGAAAGCTGGGTCACAGGAGGGAAGGAACACATACAAGCAATCCCACGGGGCCTGCAAGAAAGTACCTGTGGTGATGGTAGCCTGGGTCATGAAGGGCAGAACATGGCAATGGCACAGAGACCTGGGACAGGGAAGAGGTGGCACTGCAGGTGGGGAAAGGCACGCAGAGCCCACTGGAGCCAGCGGGCCAGGTGGACGGGCACAGCAATTGCTCTTTGTGGGACACTGCTTTTTACCAGCTGATGCCCTGCTTGATCCTCTCCCTGCACACTGGGCTGCACATCAGCACCAGCCCTGCAGGGTGGGAGAACACCTCCCCTGCCCACTCACTGCCCACCTCTGCTCCCTCTATGTTCTGATGGGAGGGGGCCACCAGCCACACAGCACAACCATAACCAACCTCCCCTGGCTGCCCAGCAGCAGGTGCCCGCAAGGGCTTGAAAGCAGCATGAACCCTGCTCGAGTTTGCCAGCTGTCCATTCGGGCAGCAGCCCTGCTTCCCTGGCCTGGCTGAAATATTCATAACTACCTCACTGTGTGAGGCCTCAACTCCATTAAAACTCAGGAAAGTTTAGCGGGATAAATTATTCAGTGGCAGCTTTATTTTTGGGCCAAGGCACACAAGGATGAGGAAGGAACTCTCTTTAGGGGTGGAAAGCAGGGAAGTTGTCAGGTTGATCCCTAACCTGCCAGGAAGAGCACATCTGCTACTTCTGGCACAGTGCATACACAGCAACTTTTAAACTTTAAACACAGCAACTCTACCTCCCCTCCTTCCAACCCAGGGATGTTGACCCAAATTGCTGGGGGCTCCTCTGGTAGCATTTCCTGCCAAACCCACCACTTCTCAGACCTCTCTAAGAAGCCCCTCTCTGCCCCTCAATCCACAGGCTGAAAGGGAACTCAATACTTCAGGACTCCTTCAACACCACCAGCTACAGACATCTGTGTTACGGGCACACCTAGAAGCTGGGTACCTGTGCTGGGTACTGAAATCCAGCCCCTCTCTGAAGGGCTTGCAACCTACAGGAGCTGAACACAAGGCAAAGGAGAAGCAAAGCACAAACAAAAGATGCAGAGAAACAAAATTATCTTCCCCTCCAGGATGTAAAACCTAGCTGGGAACCAGGGAGGGCAATACCCAAGCATGATGCTTTCCTGGGACAGAAAAATGCTCTAACAATTCCTTTTTCTCCTGACACACTCACAAACACTTTCACCTTTCTTTTCTCACCGTCACTCATATTAGAGGCTTCAATTTTTGAAGCCACTATGACCCTGACCCCAGCTGCCCTGCTGTGCACAGTCAAAGTCTTAAGTCCAGCCAGCAGCACCCACCAGCACCACTGCGGAAAACTGTGGTGTTTCAGGAGATGGATCTGCTCTGGATTCCTGACAGCCACCAGAGCACTCAACCACCACGCCAAGATCTTGCACCGACATTGCACTCAAACCAGCAGCTGTGCAAGCTTCCCAGACTGACCTCACACACCCCCACCAAGCCAAGCTGGAAAGATGCTCCCAGTTTATAACCTAAAGCCCTTGTTTACTTCATCAAAGATCCTAACAGCTTCCCAGCTTCTCTTTGCTTGCTCATCTCAAGGCCTGTTCTCCTCCTTACCTGCAGAGCTTTCTCATCCAGCACTCGGTGTTTGCTCTGAATCTTATGTCTTGGGCATTTCTGTTTTGCTGGGTCTTCTGCGCCAGCAAAAATTGAACTGTACTCCTGCAGCCGTTCAGGGGCTGGATACTTGGCACTGGAAAATACCTGTGGAGTGACACAGATCTGAAAAATCTGATCAGCTGAAAAACATCCCAACCATCAGGCAATCCTACACTACAAAAGGACATGGAGTAGAGCAAGGCACACAGTCTGGGCTGCCAGTGGGAATGGGCAGTCTTGGAGAGAACAGGGTATCTGCACAGACCCAAACATGCATGAGCTGTCACTTCAGGAAGTGGAAGAGCCAGAACTTCTCTCTATATATAAGTACTAGGAGATCATAGGCTTCCACCATGGGAATTTGAAAAAACTCTGTTAAATGAAGGAAGAATGGGGAAATAAAGGCTTTAATTAGTTTTACACAGCTCAATGAGATGCACTAAGGGGAGACAAACAGCAGCTTTCATTCAAATAGCCAAAGTGTCTATGAGCCTGAAGTGAGAGCATGTTGGGCTTAGCTCAGCACACGCCCTTTCTCTTTCTCAGGGAGAAGCTGCGGCAGCAACTTATTTAGGTCTCATAAAGCCAGGAGCTGTGTGGCTCACAGGTCTCAACATCCTCAATGGGCTGAGTCAGCAAGGGGACTCTCATCACAAGCCTGATCAGCAGCAAGGCACGTACAGGTGAGTGGGCAGCAGCTGATCACCCATTCTACTGCAGAGCCTACATGAGGAGCAAAGAGAGAAGGTGGAAGGGAGGCCATGCAGCCTTCACTGAATTCACTACCTTAATGGCCTTCTTGCTGCCCTTTATCTTCTCAATCTTCGCTTGGGCGAGCGTGACTCTCTCACCGATGGCCTGAAGCTGTGCCCAGCTGGCCTCCACCCGCTGAGAGATCCTAGGAGGCAAGCACCTTTCTTAAGATGAAGAATCCAGAGCCAGAGATTTTTTGGCAGCAGCCAGTGCCCAGACCCTCAGGGAAGGATGTGAACCTCAGCGGACTGGACTGTTTCACAGGGCAAAGCAGTGCTGGTTGAGATATGTGTGTCTCGGTCCCACCGAGAGCTTTACGCACTCCAACATGAAGGTAGGTCTCGTCCGTGACTCACAGCATAGCGCTCCCGCGGCTGTTTGATGCACAGCACAGAAAGATGGAGAACTGCATGGTTTTTGCGACACCAGAGTGCCACAAGCCCTATTCCTCTCTGCAGGTTCTGCTGACAAGAAAGCCACGGCCAGTCATCAACAGCCAACATATTTTTAATAAAAATGACTTGCTAAAAATGAAAGGCAACGCATGCTCACGAACAGAGACCAAGACTCGCAAGGCCTATCCCATCCTCTACCATACCAGCAGTTTGTTGCATGACTTCTTCCGTGTCGCTTCACAGCTTTGTGATTTGGTTTCCAAATCAGCTAAACAACACTAGGTCCTCACCTGGAGCAATAAGGCACACTAACTTGCACAATTTTTGCATAACTAGATCAGCACCAAAATGCTTTGGGACTGAGGTGAAGAGCACTCTGTGGCAGCAGGGGATAGCGGTCGCTGGTTAAGCGCCTCTGCATTCATCACATTGACATTTTCCATTCCCACAAAGCTTAGAGCAGGCACCTTGCAGCCAGGGGCACAACTGAAACTGCCAGCATGGGGCGTGCAGTCGCTACTGCACTGCAGGAACTGTCACACAGGCACAACCAGAGGCTAAGAGGGACATCGGAACCAGGCATCAGCTACAGGAGGAGTCACCTTCTCAGAAGAGCCCTCCCTTCCCCATCCATAACTAGAGCAGGATCTCCCTAGCTTCACACTCCAAAGTCAAAAATTGTTCTGAACCTTCACCCCTCTAATGAAAGCGGCAAAGAATATTTTTATGGCTGTACAACCCATTAGGAGATAGCACTGCACTTCAGCGATGTTTTGTAGCACCGAGTTCCATCGGATCATTTTGTGCCTGTTAAAAAAAAAAAAAAATCAATCTCAAGTATTGCCTTTAAATTTCACCAAAAGTGCTCTCTTTGCTTTTGAGAGCTCCCATGCTTTTTTTCCACTCTGCAGAATTTCTTCCAGTAACAAATCTGACATCAACAGTGATCCATGATTCCCATTCTCAAACTGCAGCAAACTTGTCAAGTATTTTCACTCTGTGCAGCACTTTCCCTATTACAGTGGAGAAATGGACTCAACTAAAGCCCCACCGCTGAAGTAGCGAAAAAACAGCAAGGACAAGCATCCTGTTTACTTTGCATCATTCTAAAAGACCCCCACTTTCTAAAACAGATTTAAGTGTTTCTATTCATTTATAGCTGTGCTCCCCTCTTTTTGGAGGCATGAAAATCCCTCCTTATGCATATGGCAGGAAATCACACAGCCTGTTTCTACTTTATTCTTTTTGGAGTGGGAGATGAGCAAAACTAGAACCTCATGAGATTCTCCCTCTTGGAATTATTCTCCATTTCCCCATCCTTTTATTTTAAATACAGCCTAACAGCTTGTATTTTGTACCAACATGAAGTACAAATCTGCTCATGATTTCCTTCCCACACCCTCCCTCTGTCTCAGTGGAGCAAGTCCACATCATTTACACACTTGATAGGTTCTCAGAGTAGTTTCTGTTGTTCCTTTCAGCGTGCATTTCCTACCACCTGTCTGCAGCAAATTTCATGTGTCACAGGGTTGTCCCATTGCCTTGTTCTGTTCAAGCGTGAGATGCCTCTGAAGGACCTAAGTCTTCCCTAACTGCTTTCCCCAGCAAATTTTCCCACCTCACAGTTCACCTCTTTTCTAGATGTTTCATAATTGTATTGATTGGCCCTGTTTCCAGCACTGCTCCTAGGGGCATCTGACTATTTTTACTTCCTTCAAAGCTGAACAAAAAATGGCCATTTATTTCTGCTTTGCCTCTCTCCATAGAACCAATGATGCCATTTTCCCCTCTCACCTATGAGCAGACCCTTTTCCTAGGAGAGCTCAACAAAACCTTCCTGAAGCTCCAAATAAAAGCAAGGTATCAACTGCCTTTTAGCCAGTACCCTGCTGCCTCCCAGAAACAACCCTCTGGGGCTGACCAGGCGCATACTCCTTTCTCAGAGAAGATGTTAAACAAGTAATTATGTGAGCTCAGGCCTGGAAACCAGTAACTGTTCTCCTCCCTCCCGCTCCATGAATGAGTGTGGGTTGAGTACAGTAATCAAACTCCCCTCACCCCCTTTCCTACCCCAGTGCTTCACCAGGTATCAACCTCTTCCTCTCCCTTTCCCACACCCACTCTGTCTGGTAAAAAGCAAAGGAGTTTTTGAGGAATCCCAGTTACCTTTCACCCATAACCACTTCCCAGTTTAACACTCATCATCCAAGACACCCGGTTTAGGAGAGGAACGGTGCCACAACACCCTTTACACCCCCACCAAACCCAGGCAGTGCGCTGGCTATTACAAAGTTGCTTCCTGGTGCTAGAGTGCTAACACCTCCCACAGCGCATGGACAGCATCAGGGGAAGAACGGAAAGCAAAGCCCCTCTCAGCCCACAGCACTGTGGAAATCTTTCTCATTTAAGGGTTGCTGGAACCTCTCTGAAAAAGGAAGCATCCCTAAAACTAGAGGGCAACTGGCAATTCTACTGCCCTACCTCCAACCGCAATGGTGCATCCAGAGGGGAAAGAGGGAAGGCATCTATAGCTGCATCCATCCCCGTGGCCCACCAAATATAACCAAGACAGATTACATTTGCATGTAAATCCATAAAGGACATTATCAGGCAGACAACCCGCTCCCAGCACAAGCTGGGGAAGTTTTCCAGTGCCTGCTCAGGTGTTTCAAACCATGATGGCTCCTCTCTGAGGCACCCTGTACCTTCTCCTGCAATTTACTACTTCAGGATTTGACAGCCCAAATCCCTTTGACCTTAGGAGATCTGCCAAAAACCTTCACCTGAGGTGGTACAGATGCAGGCCCACAACACAGAAGGAACACACACCAGTCTACAGAATTAATTTATTTGTTGCTGAGCAAGATAACGGAAAAAAATGATTAAACCTCCTCAATCCAACTAATCCAAATTCCATCACATGTACAGGCTCCTAAAAGTGCATGACTGCTATGCATGTACGGTTCAAGACACAGTTGCATGTGTCAGCTAAAAAAGACAATATGCCATATCAATACTGGAAAAAACCCCTCATGTTCAAGTGTCCCCCAGCAACTTTAGTATTTCTACCTCTGCGAAAACTGAACTTACTTCAAGGAGCCAATCTGGTGTTTGTCAAGAAAGGAAACAGGAAGGGACAGAGAGGGTTTCAGGGGCAAAATGTTTGAAATAAAGTGGCATTCAGACCTCAGCCTCCATTTAAGGAGTGTGTTACTGAGTGGCATTTGTTTGAAAGGCAATTGCAATCGTGACAGGAGGGCTAAGTGTTAATAAAATGGCCCATTACTGCCCCTCAGAACCCTGCACTCAGACAGCCAAAAACCCATCAGCATCTGAGCATACCCTGCGCCTATTCTATTAGTCATTGCTGTGTTATTTTGCTCTCGGTGCTCTTTTCTGCTTGAGAAACCCCTTTCGTTAGATCCAATGTGACTTTGGAGTTGCAAAGAAGCAGCAATAGCCCCTTCCTTTGGGCAGGATGCACGATTCGGGATGAGCGAAAAGGGGGCCCGCGGAAGAGAGGAGAAAACATCACCTGCCCTTCAAATCCCGGGCACTGAGCCAAACCAACCCCTCCCAGTGCTTTTCTTTGGGGAAGTAATACACATGGCAGATTAAATCTATCTAGTAGATTATCTCTTAATCCATACAGACTTATTTTTGATCTAAGCAGATATTAAAGCCAATCTTTCAGCTGCTTTGATTCAAGCTTTCACATTCTCTTCTCCCTCTGAAATCTTTTTGCAGTCAAGCCCTCTGCAGCTCACCCCTAACTTAGATCTTATTTCTCCTTTCTCCTAAAGCCCTCATCCTGCTGCCCTGAGCTCCTCTCCAATTTAGAGGCAACCCTCTCCAACACCCACTGCAGGTCCCAGGAATACTTCCTCCCACCAGACCACCTCCCTCGCTGGCCCTGTATCCTCTGTCCCATTTGCAGCCATGGAGCAGATTGCTTCCCGTTTTTTCTTTATAACTCCTCTGATAAATCTCACATTCAGACAGCTACTAAAGGACCTCTTCTGCTGTGACTGTGTCTGCCTATGGGGGAAAAATTACTGTTTTCTTAAGAGATTTTTTCCATAGGAAAAAGACTTGAGTCATTGGGAATCTGGCATCCAGGACACTGGACAGTGCCTTGCCAGCTGTCAGCACCAGCAATACTACTATATTTCTTTGAAGGTCTCCAAGCACTCCATAATGCCAAAAAAGAACTGTGATTTTTATCACCTGTATTTGCTAGGGATCAGACAGCAACAGAAAAAAGTTTAAAATCGGAGGTGGTTTAAAGACAGGCTGACAGATTCCCAGAAAGGCAGCTGAGCAAGACAAAAGTCAGCTGGAAGGAAGCATCACAGCAGCAGGAGAACCTTTGCTGTCCATGTACACATCACCCAAAAGTGACAGAAATGACAAAACTTGGGAAGTGAGAGAGAGAAGAGGTGAGCTCCTCAACAAGGTGAACAAGAAAAGTGAGGCAGCAGAGACTGAGAGCAAACCTCTCTAGAATACCAAAGAACTTCAATTTCATGTCTGAAGTACAAAAGTAAGCGATCAACCAAGGAGAAAGAACATTATGGAGCAGAATGAGAAATGAACTTGCATGGGAGGATAAGTCAGCTGAAGTATTAAATGACTTTTTCCTTAAATGAGGACTGCACACATCACAGCAAGTCAGGCCTCTGGTCTCCTCCCAGCCCTGAGAGATAGCAGGGCGATGCTTGGCAGTGCTCTTCTAAACTTCAGGGTACAT